TTTTTGCCAAACTTTTCCCCTTCTTTTGGGGCCTTTTGGTCCCCCCTTTTTTCCCCAATTTTAGGGATGTTTTTTTTGCTTTTGTTTAATTTTCCAAATTTTTCCATGTCCCCCCCTTTTTGTTTCTTTTCCTCCTTGGGATCCTTTTTTTCCTTCCTGGGCAACTCCCCTTCCCCAATTATGGGGGGGGGGTACGACTTTTCCAAGAGTTTTTTTGGGGCTTTTCATATTTCCTCCTCGGGGTTATTGTTTTTTTCCTTCCCCCCCCCAAAAGGCAAAGGCGATGCCCCCCCCCCCCCCGCCCCCTCCTCTCGAAGACGCGTGGCCAATAGCGTAACAAAACTAGGGCAGCACATGAGTACGCTCCCCTATCGCGTGATGGCAGGTCAATACAATCCGCCGGGTAACTACATGCGGTTCTGGCTGACGGTGTACCCGTGGGTGGGGATGAACACGTGGCTTTGGTCGGCGGTGTTTCATGCGAGGGATGTGCCTTGGACGGAAGCGGCCGACTATTTCTTCGCCCTCATGTGAGCCTCTTTTTTTGTTTCTTGTGGAACCACCACTTGCAGGGGTCCCTGTTTTAAGACCATTTATTAAAACCGGTTGCCCTGTTTAAGGCCGGTGAAGTCGCTTGGCATTGATGGAATATTTTAGTTGTCTCATACTCTGAATGGTGCCGGGTGCCCGACATGCGGCCGTTGTTTTTCCCTTGGACGAAAGCGGATTTAAGCAGGGATCTCTCCGTATTTCGGTGGACATAAAATGGAATATTCAAGTTGTCTCACACTCTGAGTAGTTCCGGGTGCCCAGTATATGGGCGGTGTTGGACCGCAGCGGGTATAAGCAGACCCCTATACCGTGTATCATCCCCGACGGCCTGTACCTAACCTTCCATCGTCAAGACTCTGGTACAGCCAGGGAGTGGATCTCAGAACTGTTCCCGGCGTGTGAAGACTAGAGCAGCAAGACTTAGTCTGCTGGCGTCACTCAACCCGTCTCCTTTTAGCAGAGAAAACTCTTTTTTGACTTTCTCTCTCGTGAAGTTTGTCGCAAGTTTACCGCCTGTCAGACCTGTCTTGTTGTCTCCATTACTCACAGCGAAGGTGCGCGCTTCTTAACGAAGGGAGGGATGATGGTTGTCAACAGTTTGGTCGTTTTCGAAAGGGGAGTTACAACCTCCCCGCTGCCTTCATCACTGTCCTCACGGTGCCCCTCGGCAGGAACATCTTCTTCGTCGTGTGGGTAGCGTTTGTGCGGTTGGCAGGCCCCCCCAGGAATCGAAGGTGAGCGTGGCGTAAGAAGACTGGGCATCTTTCGGTGGACATAGCGGTGAAGACAAGGGGGTGGAATATGGAATGGTACTATAAATGGAGTTCAACAACGGGAGAGGGCTGCTGCTGCTGCTGCTGCTGCTGCTGCTGCTGCTGCTGCTGCTGCTGATCGGGTGCAAATAACAACATAGTCCGCCTTTGGCTACATTGGTGAAGCCGAGTTGAGAACCACAGCTCAGCGGTGGATCCTACATAAAATTCTCCCTGCACTTGCAAGTGATGAAACCAAAAATTGGGCTGAAACGAAATCGACGTTTCTTCTTGTCTCCGCGCCCATACTGCTGCAACAGAACACCCCCCGCCATTTTTTCGCGTGTTTTCGTGCATAGAACATGTATATCCCACCTTCAGCATGACGCTTGCCCGCCCCCCCCCTGCGCTGCGAAAGCCTGATATCTCGCGTTGGTACTTATGTGTATCTGTCGAACACCTATTAAAGTGTCGCTCCCGCACCCCGTCCGAGGCTGCTGCTTTTCCTTCGTGTTCTCGGATGGGCGGAAAACACGACCCCCCCCCCCCCCTCCCAAAGTACACCAATATATTTTGCGTGTTCGCTCTTGTCGTACGCTTAGATGGGCGTAAAACCCAAATCCCCCCGCCCCCCGCCCCCCAAGTAACACCAATCCCGTATGCGTGTTCCCTCTTGCGCGCACATGGGTCTAAATACTTACGGGCAAAACGAAAAACGCCTCTCGAAAGTCACCGGTTACGCAAGCTGGTGCCCACGGTAGGCGTGTCGATGGCTGTGTACTACCTGCTGCACATTTCCTACATGACGTTCTTCACGTTCGACTACGGCTACAACATGAGGGTGCGTTCCAAACAGTGGTGTCGGTGGTTTCTTTTGCGGTGCTGTGTCTTGTTTCTCGGCCCGGTCCGCTTCTTAGAAGAATGGAAACTTGGGGTCCTCCAGGTGTACACGTGTGGTTTGTAAGCAGATTTCTCGAGTGTTGGCCACTCCAGTCTTTTGGGGTCCTGTGTCGTTGTTTGGGCTGTAAGCCTTTGGGCACGCAAACTCTGTGAACGGGGGGGGGGTGCTGTGCTGCTTTAGGATCAGTTTTGTGGACTGTTTGCTGCATGCAGGTGCTAAGCGGTATTTTGTTTGATATTGTGCAGACATTAGTCAGCAACTACTACCGGGAAGATCTGAACAGGGTCTTTCTTTCCAAACGCTATGACATGGTTACCGTTTAGCATATTCTGTAGGTGGTACTGCTGTGCGACTACTCTTGTATTGTATGCAATTGCACCTGGTCTTGGTGTTGACTCCTTTGTCACCGCTGCTTTGACTGTTTTCTTCCCTGGTGTTCACTGCGCTCTTTACTTGCTGTTCACTACTGTTGTGTGTTTTCTGCTCGTTTTGTCACAAGTGCCTTACCCGTACTCTTCTCTGCCGCTTGGGCTGTACTTTTCACCGCTGTGTGCTACTGCTGCTGTGTTAACAGTTTTCTTCACTGCTGTGCCACCTTTGCTGTTGAGCTGTACTCTTCGCTGCTGTGTGCTGTGCCACTACGGTGTTCACAGTTTTCTTCACATCGCCACCACTACTGTTCGACTGTTCTCTTCACCGCTGTGTGCCACTGCTGCTGTGTTAACAGTGTTCTTCACTGCTGTGCCACCTTTACTGTTTGACTGTACTCTTCGCTGCTGTGTGCTGTGTGCCACTACTGTGTTCACAGTTTTCTTCGCTGCTGTTCCACCACTGTTTGACTGTACTCTACACTGCTGTGCTACATACCACTAATTGACTGAACTCTCCACTGTTGTTCACCACTCACTGCTGTGCTACGGTCTCTTTCTGCTGCTGTTGTTGTTGGCTGGCTGGCGTGCCTGCCCGAACCAGGTGGCCTTGCTGGCCGGAGTGGCGCACACCGCGCTGTGGCTGCGGTACCAGTACCTCATACGAGATAGGCCCTACGCGAGGCGGGGCGCGGTGGTCATCATCCTCCTCAACGCGGCGATCTTGCTCGAGGTGCAACTTTTTTTTTTCTTCTTCTTTCCCTTCGAAAAAACGTGACAAATCCATCTCTTTTCCTTCTTGCCCAAAGCCTGCACTTTACCAGCCCCTCGCTAATGACGTCAGTCCGACCATCTTGGACCTGATAGTTGCCAGCCTGCGCGGCGAAAGCGTTCTTTTTTCGCCCCCACCTTTGTATGCAGTTACGCCTTCTGGGTGCACTTTCGGACGTACCAATCCGGGGGGGGTGTCACACGTATATGTGGGATCCCTTCTGCGGTCCATACAGGTTGCATTGATCTCGAGGACGGGTTCAGAGCACCATTTTCCCTGGTCGGCGATGATTTTTTTTTTTTTGGCAATCACGAGTGGTGTTTTTTTTGGCAACAACGAGTGATGGTATGTATAGGGAGGACAATTCGTGTAGAAAGTTGGAATCGCTGTTGCCCTTGACGCACCGCAGTGTAGTAGTACCGCGCCTTTTTATTATTGCGTGCATTGGTGTGGGTGTTCACGTGTGCCCAGTTGTTTTTTTTTTGTTGCTCTCCTGAAAAGCTAAGCGTACAGATACGCTATAATAGTCACTTTGCCGCTACGGCGAGTATCCGGTTCTTCTTCGAGCAGCCCGCCGGAGAACGGGAACAAAACAAACCGGCAAGCACGCGGCAAATAATTCTGACTTGCTTGCTGATGACGACGTCGTCGTCGTCTCTTCTTCCGCCCCCGCAATTACGCTGCTTTCACGACACCGTTCGTCGACAGGTGAACGACTTCCCCCCCCTGTTCCGCCTGCTCGACGCTCACGCCATCTGGCACTTCGCGACGATCCCGCTCATGTTCCACTGGTACCACTTCGTGATCCAGGACGCGAGACACGAGGTCACTCTGTCTACGAAAGAAACCTGAAAAAAGTTGCAAAAGCGAGGTATTGGTAGCTGTGCCTCTCGCGGCGAACGCTTTTTGCGGTGGTGGTTTAGAAGTGAGACGTTGCCTAATATTTTTTCCCGGACCTGGGTAGTACTTACGTAGGTTTACCGTGGTGGTTTGGAAGGAGACATCAGGTAGAGATTCCCTGTTATTTCCCGGGCCTGGGTGATACTTATGCAGGCTTGCCGTGGTGGTTTGGAACGAGACATCAGGTAGAGATTGCCTGCTCTTTTCGGGGTCTGCGTGCCGGTAGCGTAGGCACGTACAGCACTAATAGTATCGTCGCCGCCCCTGCGCGTCGGGCAGAAGGGTGGCGGGGCTGATATGCATAAATGCCGTTCTTTCACCTGGTTTTGTCTCTTGTGGCGTGCTGTCGCGGTCTTCGAACGTGGCTCTCTGTTTGATGGGTTTTGGTCAACGGTCGCGGGAATAGCCACAGAGGGCGGGCCGAAATCAAACCTGGAGACTAGTCAGCCCATTAGACTTGTCTATTTTCATTATTTGATTTGGCTTCTAAAACTAAATAGCCTGCGCTGACTAGTCCAGTAGATTTGATTTCGGCTTCTTTACCCCCCATGGCGAGGGAAAGGTTGTCTGTCGGTCGTTGTTTTTCTAGATAGATGCGGATTCGAGCTGTACGTATGTGTACGAGTCTAGCATTTATGACAGAACACCCTGTTCTGCCTCTTGGTTCCTGGCATCGAGTTGTTCCCCATCCATGCATGCCCTCCTCTTTGTTGTCGGTCCGTGCTATCATTTTTTTTTCGTCGTGTACTTCCTCCGTTTTGACGTGCTGAGACAGGTGTTTGATTGGAGCAGGCTTTTATCTTCGCTAGACGTTTTTTTTCTTCTTTTTTCTGCAGATGTATGCATGGGAATGGCAAAAGATTTACGAGTAGAGAGCCGTGTCCTGCTGTAGGGTACTGGGTGTTCAGACCAAGTTGAGAGCGATCGAAAGATGGAATTTAATTGCTGTCTCTATCGTAACTTATTTTCTTTTCCTTTCAAATCGTAGAAAAAATTGGCATATATTCTCGAAGCTCGGTGGCATGCGGCAAAAGCTGAACGCTGCTGCTGTCTTTTCCTCAAGAACACGCCATTCGCTTGATTTCGAAAGCGTTTCTTGTTCCTGATGGGGCTGGTGCACTAAATACCAACTTCGGACGCTCGTGATAGGAACGGCGACAGACCGGTCCGATGGTGACTCGCATCTCGCATCTCCATCTATCCGTACCCACCGGGGAGATTATCTCCACAGGATCTGGATGACTTGATTGAAAGGTCCGAGCGGTGCAAGCAAGCACACTCCCATCAGAAAAGTTGCTTAGCAAACGCACATGCGATCAAAACCCAAACATGCTTCGAAATTGGGAGAAAATGGTTTAAAATGGTTTTCCGCAAGAAACGAAAACATGGGGGTACATGTCCTCCTTCGTGAAAACATGCAGAGACCCTCCTGGTTTTGCTACTTCGTACCGTATGTTTTTTTTAGTATTGCCAAGGCAACAAGGCAAAAAATCGCCGGAAATTCGCAGGGTATGCATATTGTACCGAAGAGAGAAAATTTGCAAAGTGCGACAACAGTACTGCAAAAAACGAATGAGGAAAAAAAATAGAACGCGTCGTCATGTGACAGCAACTGACTGCTGCTGCTTTTGCGACTTGACACAAGCAAGCATCATTCAACACCGAGACGCGCGCGCATGATAACCGCCTTGGTTCTCAACAAACACAACACAAGCTCGTCATCGTACTATTATGATCACAGTGCATGATTCTTGAAATCAATCGTCCCACTTTTCACCGAATACGTCTCGTCTGTGGTGTCAAAACAGCAGTTGCCAAAAACTACGCCAAGCTCTCGCTGGTAACCTACAGAGAAGAAGAGGTCTGACGCGAGAGGCACGCAACAACGGATTCAGCGTTGTCGCGCACACACAACTCAGAAGTCCTCCAAAAACTATTCACGTGCTTGCTTCTCTTCCGAGCTGGATCTAGACTATGTGTATACCCATACACGACACATTACACGGGACCGAGAGACCCAGCTATTGAAAAAACATCCTTACTTGTATCAAAACACAGACCGTTGAGAGGCCCCTCGATATGCTACGTACCTTACGCATGTGGAATGAAGGAGGTATTCTAACGTCAGCATCATGTAGAACTTCCGACTCCGAGAGAGCGGACGGGCCGGGGATGAAAGAGAGCAACCCCGTTCCACTCGCGGGCGTACCCCCCATCGAAACCACGGGGCAACAAACCGAAAAGAAAGGAGAGGTTTTTCAAAAAAACTCTCGCGGAACCAACATATCACACCAGAAAAGAAAACAAGCCCTCCCTCTCTTGCAGCCTGAGCAAAATATGCCAACAAGAGGCACACCCATCGCCATAACCAACGTGCCACACACACATGATACATCATCTAAAAAACGTATTTCATACATGGAAAAAAAGCAACCGAGGTACAGATGATACGCTGCGAAAATACCCACAACGCAGAAAGTGATGAGAGTAAAACACGCGTAGTTGTAGCGGCGGCACCACGCTTCGCGCTTAGATGTGAGCGCGCACGGCGGTGGGGGACGAACCAAGCGCCCATATACCTTGACAAGCAGAGCAATGCAAAAAAATGAACCCATACCAAGAGTTTATCATCGCGACCAACCAACGTGAAATAAAGCTGGGGGGAGGGGGGGGGAGTGGGGGGAAAGATGACTATCGATGCGTGGAATCTCTACATTTTGAGGTAAAAAACTTAAACTTTTTCTCGCCACAAAATGTCGGAAATTCCTTTCCCAACGAGCGTCAGGAAAGCGCGGCGTGCGGCCAAAAACAAAAACGAAACCGGCGGGGACAAGACCCACGAAAAATACGACGGACAGGGCGAGTGAGCAGCTTCAAACCATCCCCGCGCTCAACAACGCTCCATCCAGCAACTCTTTCTTACGAACAGAGCGGCATCATTAATTCTTCGCGTTCTCGCAGCCCATGCCCGGCCTCCTCCATGTTTCGGCCCCCCACCTTGAAACAAAGACTAACAAAAACAAGAGAGCAACAGCAAAATGCGTCACACATTTACCTCGTCGGTTCTAACAAGAAAGCACCCTATCTACACTCCGCCCCCCCCCCCCCCGCCCCCCCCACAACAATAATCCGGGGGGGATGTTAATCCCTTACAACGGGGGCGCTCTTTCAAACCAAACACAAAACAAAAAAGAAAAGGTGGTGAGCGACAACACCCAGGGAGGGGGGGGGGGGGGGGACTTTTCCCCTTTCCCCCCCCCCCAGGAAAATGGGGGGGGGGGGAAAAAAAAAAAAAAAAAAAAACCAATCCAAAAGAACCCGGCCTCCCCCCCCCCCAAACCGGGAAGGGATTTCTCTAACCCCCCCCCCCCCCCGATAAACAAAAAAAAAAAAAAAAAAAAAACCCTTTGGTATTTCCCCCCAAAAAAAGGGCAGGGAAACCCCCCCCCCCCCCCCAAAACAACCCTTGGGTGGCCGGAAAAACCCCC